TCAGGATGCTCTTCGCCAAGCACTCTCTTCCTCATCTGCATCACTTGCACCTCTAGCTCTTCCGCTTCCTCATACCTTCCATCACTATGCAGAGTCATGGCACACTTTACAGAAAGAATCAAACTCTCTTCGTCATCATCTATCCGACTATGCGACAGAGCATACAAGGCATGCGGAAGTAACCGTCTCCACTTGCTTCTGTTATTGTGATCGCTGGTTGGGAACACCCAAAGTAGCTGTGTTATAGTGCGTTTAGTCCACTGTTGAAACCGTCCCTGCGCTTGCAGCCGTTTGTGTAGAGCTTGGTGGACTAGTCGATGAATATCGAGTGCAGACTCAGCAGGTCGTCTGGTAACAAGCGCATACCTATCAAGCACCTTAATAGCATCTTCCCTTGCCTGTGGCGAGACTGCCTGTAGAAGATCGAGTGAAATGTCTTTCCGGTCTAGGCATGCAGCAAAAGAAAGATGGTCTACAGCGAGCGCATTTTCATGATCAATCTGCTCCACGGAGATAAACAATGTGGCAGCTATAGGATCTTTTATACCAGAGCTCTGTAGTTTGTCTTCAGACGATTCGCTGCTTTGCTTGATAGCTTCTTCTTTGCGCTTATCTAGCTGTGCTCGGTACGTTTGCACCGTCATGCCGCTAGCATTAATGCAGGCTGCTGCTTGCACAATCGCTAGAGGCAGATATGATAGTTCCCCTAGCAAGAGATCGGCTTCCTTCTGCTCAGTATTAGAGAGTACCCTCGCCAAGCGGCTTTGCAGCATCCTCTGCGCCGTATCTAGTGTCAACTCTCCCAGCGCTGTAACATTCTGTGAAGCAAGCGCCCGAGCTGTATCGCTGTTCGTCGTTGTGAAGATGGCGGAGCAAAGCCTAGACTTCGGCAGACAATCGGCTAAATCTGCACGTTCTGTTGTGGACGAGCCGCCCGACCGTAGAGTGAGGTCTTCAGTGTTGTCGAAGATTATCAGACACTGCCGCTCGCTCATTTTGGCCACACAGTCTTTTATGATCTGCTTCATATCTGCCTGCTCATCGTCCCATCCAGGAATGCTGAGCTTCTGCGCAACACTTACATACGACTGGTTGAGACTGTCTTTGTCGCTCGCGTCCATCCAAAAGACTGAGCAGTTCTTGTTGTTCTGCCTTGTCCTGTGTGCAACCTCGAGCGCAAGCTGCGACTTGCCTGTCCCACCCGGGCCATGTATTGCTAGAGTTGTAGTTCTCTGTTCATTGCTAAAGAGCTCTGCTTCTAGTTTGGCAAGCTGTGACTCTCGTCCGACGAAGCGAGGATTGCGCGAGAATGGAATAATCGATGGTACGTTATCAGCTGCCTCTAATTCTGCCTTCAGTCTACTTCGTGCACTGTCCTTTTTTTCTCCATATGCAGTGGGCATAGAGATGCCAAGGACTCCAAGTAGGCAGTATACGATGTCTTCTTCTTCTTTTGTTATGCGATTTTTGGCCCATCGCTCTCGCTCAGATATGGGAAAATGGTCTAGAGGACAGTTTCGCAGTGCCTCAAGTGGGATGCTAGTAATCTCGTATAGAAGCTCGTCCAGTGATGCCTTGTCACCTATACGCTGGCCTTCGTAGGTAAAAAACTCGACTGAAATGGGCGCGATCAGCTCTTGGAGTGTCCACCCTCGAGTGAACCATACGCTTTCACGGAAAGCCGCCTCCCAGTCACTACGCTGGGATGAATCCGTTGCAGTAGATAGGGAGACATCTGATAAGAAGACGTAGCATCGCGTCGAATTCTTGTACCACTGGAACATTGAGTTGATCGCTTTCGAGCGCTCACGAAGGTCCCATCTGTTGATGCAGCATGTGTCGATCCAGAAGAACTGCAGACTATCCTGGGTCGCCTGCTTGGCGCAGAACTCAAGCTTTCGATAGCCTTCTTGCCTGTCCTTGTAGGCTCCGCTCGCTATATCTTCGAAGAGGATCTCGGAGTCGCTCCATCTATGTGATAGAATGGCGTAGGGTGGGATCGTCTTGCCGCGGAAGTCTGTCAAGACAAGCTTTCCCAGCGCATTGAAGTGGAGAAGCCGCATCGCGTGTGCAGCTCGGGCTCAGTCGATAGAAGGCGAAGCGTGAACGACCTTTGTAGTGTTAGGAGTAGAATAACGTAGTCGCGACAGATTAAAGCAGGTAGAGGAAGCTTGCGCTGGTCTATTATGAAGGCAGCCTTTTGAGGCAGTGCATGCGACCAGGCTGAGCGCACGCTGGCCACATTGAGTGACCTTGCACTGCCCCGCCTCATGATTTGTACTGTGACTGTGCTTACACCAAAAATTCACGTTGGATCAGTGCATACGTGAGTAGGATGTGAGCAATTAGAGAAGAATCATATGTATTACATTGTAGCATCTTGTAACACTCACGTTAATGTAGGTCGCATAGATGTAAAGCAAGGGATGATGTTACGTATACTGTGGCGTATTGTTCTGCAGCCGTTTATTAGACAGTTAATTGCATCGCCAGATGATGGTATAACCCTGAGCCAGGCGCCTGTCAGGAGTAGATTGCATCCCTAGTGGTCCGCTGTGCGAGGAAAAACTATTTAAGCGGGCCTAGGTAGAGCGTGGCTGTTTGCGGTAAGTGCCAGTCCAGAAGAAGACCTGCCTGAGGTGAAGTGCTCAGAGCCATAGTTCTCAGCCACAATGTGGTACGCACATTTCTCAGTACGCTGCTGTATACCAAGAGCTACTACCGGTAATAGCGCTTATTCTAATAATCTTGTGGTTTGCGCAATGAAACTGCTGGGTCACACACTACTAACTTTAAACTAACTTTTATGCTTGCGATATTTATCTTTACGATCTTGGCTTTCTGTTTAACCTACTGGTATCTATATTATTTGACGGAGTTGGTTCGCAACGGAGACGGAAGTACGGGTTTGGTCCACGGCGACATCGACAGTTGTTCATGGCAGGGGTTCGGTAATTACTGGAACAATATCTGTGGACTCTGTAACCTTCTCCGAGATTTTCCAGTCTTCTTACAAGTCTGAGCTCAATGTCGGTGACAAAATGTTGAGGCCTCCGGCGCGTGAAGATACGCGCGTCCATTTGCGCGGTTTGTATTCCTCACCCGTTGAATCATCTAGCTCTTCCACTTCACGTACTGTGCTGCTCTCTATTCGGTCCAGGTCAGTGTTGAGCACGTTCGCTAGAGACCTTCCCAGAGGAACCCTCGCTGACAAATCATCGTCCGGTTGAGATTCGCTACTAGGAACGGTGAATCCAGTACTTTCTGGTGATTTGCTCGAAGAAGCCCGTTCGAGGGATAAACTCAAGGCCCCTCCGTCCGGTGTCCGGACCGCCGAGCTACTCTTTATGTGCAAGAAACTCATAACGTTCGTGCCAAATCTGTGGCATCCTGAAAAAGCACACAAATCGTCACTGTTGCGGTTTGGTAACTCTCTGCCTTCTCGCTCTTGATCATTGGTGCTGGAAATCATAGGAGGCTGCGTTGGGATATGCCAATCGAGGTACACCGCTCTGGGTATCAAACATTGGATAAGAAGCCGGATCCTTTGAGTCTTTAGTCAGCTTCGCAGGTCCAGAACAAGGAAAGGGAAATATGAAGAATTGCACTTCACGGTCTTCCGGGCCGCTTCAACGAATATAGACTGGGTGTTCGTCCATCTCTCCAGAAAGTAACATGTGACATGAACGCTTAGGATAAGCGTGCTGCAACTGACCATTGTGCCTCATTGCCAGCACCACTGCCGAAAAGATCGACATATGCGAGAATCATGGAATTGTAAACATCGATTCTGTGCCAAGAGCCAATGGTATCTTCCAATGTCGAAGCCCTGGTGTGCAGTCAAATAGTGGCACGCCCGCCCTACCTCACCACTGCACCTTCCTTGTCCACACACACATAATATTCACGCTAAACTATCCTCCCATGCTCTTCAAGACACTTAACTTGATTCTGATCAGTACCCTCATCTCCATGACTGACCTCCCCGTCCGCCCACCTAACCCACTCCCTCGCCAGACTCCCACTCTTCGCTCGGAGTATTCCAACAGCGATATCAACCACATTGCTCCTCGACTCATCACTACTATAGTAAAATACGCTCGCCCCGCACCCGCCGCAGAAACTCCGCCACACGTCGTCTCTGCTGTGATGGTGTTGGAGCCTCAGTCCTTCATTTGCGCCCTCTTTCTCTGCATCGGCGCCAAAGACTACAGGTTGCGACGTCTTCGCATTGATGACCGAAGAAAGCGCGACGTACGTCCACGGACACAACGAGAAGCCCATCGACAGCCGACACGAGCGACACGCACAGAAGCGCGCGAGATACCTGTGCGGATCGTCCTTTGTCATCAAGCTGCCCACCCTCTCGGGCTCGTCGTCGTACTCCGCCCGCTTGATTCGTAAATCCACGCCGCCGCAGTGACATCTCGCTTCTAACTGCTCCTCCGGTCCTGGCGGGGGGTGCTGGCCTGATGCCAGGGCGATGCTGTCGAGGTCCATGGGATTGAGTTTGCGTGTCCTGTATTTCGCGGCGTAGAGTTCCGGTTCTGAAGCGCTGGCGCCTGTGATTGGTAGGAAGACAGAGATGACGCCGCCGTCGCGTAGGTCGTCGATGTACATGTGTCCCACGAGCTGCACTACATCTTTCACCCCCTCCGCGTTTTCACCATCCTTCTCACTAACCTCAACCATCCCCGTCGTGCAAAACCACTCCTCTTCTGCCGCCTGCGGATGCTCCACGAAACACTGACATCCGCATTTTTCACAGAAGTAGCGGACACACGATGGCGTAAACTGGTATTTCCCCAACTTTGCTTGAATTTCCGGGCAAGGAGCGCTCTTCAGTGATGCGAACGCCGGTAGTAGTCCGCCGGAAGTGTAACGGCAAGGATTGCAGTGGCAGATTGTTGATGGGAGGGGAAAGGTGGGATTGGCGAGTGAGGTGCCTGGGAGCGAAATTTGCCCACAGAGGCAGGTGATGTGGGCGGAGGAAGTTGGTACGGGGTTGGACATGATGTGTGATGCAGAGGGCTTGAGCTCTGAGCTGAGTTGGGAACGGGCTGAAGATGTGGTGAGCCGTGGTGTGCGTTCAATGGAAAAGTGCATGGCGGCGAGTATCGCGAAAGTTAGGTGGTACATGTCTTGATGTGACGTCATTGGGAGAGGGGTGCTTGCTGAGCAATCCTTCGTATCTCGCATTGCAGGAATGTGGACGGCGTGCGGATTTGAGAGCCTTGGGAGTCACTGCGGAACGAGATAAACGGAAGACGTTTTAAACACGGAGACGGCCTGTAGTCCATAGGACGACTTAGTAGGTAGCCAACAGGGTACTTGTGATCACTTAACAATATCATTCAAGGTATCCAACGGTGAAAAGGGCTCAATCTCTACTCCTCATCCTCCGAGTCGTCAACCTCTTCCTCGCTGACCCCATCCACCTCCTCGGCATCCTCATCGTCTTCCTCCTCGCTCTCGACATCGCTGAAAGTCTCCGCATTTTCATCTGCCTCTGCCTTCTCAGCCTCTCTCCTCTTCTTGTCCTGCGTCTTACGTGCTTCCTCCTCCATCTTCTCCTTCTGCTCTCTTATCTTCCTCTGTCCAATTACGAAAGCGCCCAACGGCGTCTTTTCCCACTCAACATCCTTGAGGAAACCTTCCACACCCACGCGGTCATTGGGTGCAAAGTCGACCTTCGCTCTGCGCTCCTCTATCCACTTTGAGTTGGCCTCTAGTTTTTGTACCAAAAGTGCAAGCAGCGAATTGATCTTGGCGTTGCGGTTACCGCTCGACTTCTTAGCCATAGTCTTCACCCAGCGCTTGAGCATGACGCAGACCGGGAGAGCGAGCTCGGGAAAGGCAATGTTTTTGCTCCAGAGGACGAAGAACTCGGAGAGGAGCTCTACGACCTGCTCGCCGACGCCGTCCTGGTAGATGCGGGTACGCAGGTACGGTTTTGTGGCTCGAATGCTGGTGCTGAAGTCCAGGGATTTCAGTGTGCTGGGCTTGGGCATCTTTTTCATCTCTGAGGTGTTCAAAACCTCTATCAAGGCTGGAGCGAGCGGGATATAGGTCGATGTAGCCGACGATATGCGAAGCAGAGAGCGTACGAGCTGGAAGCGGAGAGGGAAGTACTGCGACGTCGGGATGAGGCGCATGGCTCCGAGAGTGACCTGCACGATGGGGTAAATTAGAGGCCGCAGAGCAGACTGCTTGCCTGATTCTGCTTCCCGGAGAGACTCGCAATGTACGGAGACAACTCGCGACCAGAAGTCAAGCGAGTGAATGTACTGCCAGTTGTAGACCGTCTTGTACGAATCCTTCGTCTTGTTGGTGATGCTCTGGCGTAAGTGGACGGCTAGCTGCCTGATGAAACCAAAGCCTGTCGTGTAGCCCACGTTCGGATCAATGCCCCACAGCTCAGAGGCAGTGTTCTTCATGAGATTGATACCCTGGATGTTGTGCACCGTGGTGTTTCGGGCACCTTTAATGAGACCTTGATAGGTCTGCTTCAAGACTGCTTCCCGGATGCTTGCGTCCGAGATAACCACTAGTCGTCGAAGCACGAGGAAGGCAGACAGTCTCGTTGCTTCTGTGTTGGACGAATCGGCCCAAACGGAAGAAACAGTCTTCGCAACGTCTCGTACAATCTTCTTGAACGAAAGAATATATGGTATGAGCGCGAGGAGCGAGTCGAGCGTCATGCGCTGGGTCGGAGCGTCCGATAGATTGTCCAGGAGATGGTTCACAGAAACGGCATGGGATTTGAGCAAAGGTGCAAGATTGCGGAACTTCTTCGAGTCGGTCGATAGATGTCTGAGCTGTCAGTGGGTATCTGATAAGACAGGAGATGGTGCCTTACATTCTGCCAGATGCAGATTCTTTGACAGGTAGATGATGCTGAAGGACCTTTGGAAGTAGCTTCAAAGCTGTGATGAGCACCTCGTGGTACACTGCATCAAGTTAGATTGTGAATCGTGATGCGCAGGGGTGACAAACCATGTGAGTCGGATATGGAGTACTTGTATTTGTCCTTCTTCTCATCGTCAAGGTGGGCGGCAGATCGGAAAGCAAGTACGACTTCTCTCGTTGCTCTGAGCGATGAACTCTCTTCCATGGAAGACTTCCACTTCTGGATGAGCTTCTTGGTCACTTCGTTGCCGCTGTCGGCCTCGTCGTCCTTCCCGCCCTTGTCTGACTTGCGCTTTTTCCGCGGCGTCTTCTCGTCTTCACTTGCGCTCAGCTCGAGCCCGTCCAAGTCGTCATCCTCGAAGTCGAGCAGCTCCGGATCGTGGTCCTTCAAATGCTTGTAGAACTCTGGGTCCTTCTCTGCCAGCGCTGCCAACTCCTTCTTGTGTGCCTCCATATCATCGCCGGATTCGCTGTCCGAGCCAGCATCCTCTGCGTCTCCTGCAGCCTCTGCCATGTCGGCGTCTGAATCGTCGGAAGCACCGCCTTCGACCGGCGTCCGCTTGCGCTTTCCAATCTTCGGCTTCGTGGATTTCTTCTTTTTCATTTGGGGGAGCTCGAAACCGCCCTGGAAGAACTGATCCATGGACATTTCCTCTAATGCACCATCCTTTGTCCCGTTTGTCGTCTTCTTGCCGACGCCGTTCTCAACGCCGTCGGCAGGCGCATTGTCTAGAGCTTTCCGCTGCTTCTTCTTCAGGTCCATCTGCTTCCTCTGCTTGATTTTTGCGACATCTTTGCGCTTTTTCAGCAATGCGCCGAGCTCGTTCTTCTCGAACTTCTTTGTCCTCTTCGAAACAGGCATGGCGACCGTCTTCACTGCTTGGTGGGCGTGGGATTGGCAGGTGCTGAGAAAAAGTTACAGCGGAAAAAGTGTTAGCGCGGCCAAGAGTTCGGCGCCTTCCCCACATAGCAGCACCCTGGCCGGTGCAGGCACCACCGAGCGATGGGCGAAGCTTAGGCTCCAGCACCACCAGAGCACCATCATGTACAGCAACCGCCAGCTGGCCTACGCGCCTACGCCGTATATTCCGCGTTCAACGCTGTCTGCGACCATCAATCTCGATGAGGTATGCAACACCACGCGTCAGATGGGCTATCGACACTGATAGTTGCATGCAGGAGGTCAAGCTGTCCACCACAAGCGCCGAACGCGACCTCTATGACTCTCTCGCCGAGATTTATAGCATAGTTATTACACTTGATGCACTCGAGAAAGGCTATCTAAAAGACTCTATATCCGAAGCCGATTATACCGAGACGTGTAGTCGTCTCTTGAAGCAGTACAAGTCCAATCTCGCCAACGAAACCGTTGCGCGCGCGTTCGGCGACCTTGACTCTTTCAAACGCGAGTGGGACATCGATTGCCCCAGAGCCACGGAACGTTTGAGGGTCGGCATTCCAGCGACTGTCGAGCAAGGCCCCTCGCATAAGCCGGGACAGCAAGGCGATTCGGCCGACGCCACGCTTGTCATCAATGCCACCGAGAACTTCATCACTCTGCTAGATGCTATAAGAATGAGCCTCGTTGAGAAGGACACGCTGCATCCCCTGCTAGTCGAGATCATCCAGGCAGTAAACAAGGTCACAGACATAGACTTTGAAAGCAAGGGCAAGATCGTGCAATGGCTCATTGCACTGAACCAGATGCGCGCAGCCGAGAAGCTAGATGATGACCAATCTCGCGAGTTCCAGTTCGATATGGAAAGTGCATACCACGGCTTTAAGGCAACGCTGAAGAAAGACTGAGCAGACAGTGCGGGGGCGGGGCTGCAAATCAGTGTAGGATGACGCGCCCATGCCAACAACTGTCGTTGTCTCAGGAGATGGCGAATAACCATGCTCCATGCACACATCTTGAGCATGGTCTTCCTCGGGTAGTCCCCAGTATACACACAACTTGTCTTGGTCGAGTTGTGTTGTGATCCGGGGCGCACGGGCCACACCATTTTTTGGCATCATCGGCGACTGTCACCCCGCTGCAGCAGCGTCCAGACAAAGATATGCCGCAACTCAGCGGTACGTCCGCGCAATAACTTACTCCATATCCCTGCTAATGAGTCTGATACAGTGCTCGATCTTCCCCAACTTTATACCAAGCCTTCGGCCGACGCCATCCTCGAGACACTCGTTCTACTTACCTCCGCGCCTCCCTCGTGGGATTACCAATCCGACCATGCTGCAGATCACGACTCAGGTCTTGACACAACGAAAGACAATGAACCTCGCGCTGTACAGATCGACCCAGAAGGAGTCACCCGGTACCTCACAAGCATCGTGAGCAACAGCTTACAATGGATACAAGACGAGGGGGTCAAGGAAGAGATATGGAACCAGGCCAGTCTTCGCCTGAGTGAGAGGTCAGGACGTTCTGCTAGGGGCGATCTCACTCGTCGATTCACCATACCCTCAACCGACGGCCCCTTCGACCTTAGTATCCATGAACCCGCGTTAACAGGCGACGACCTGGGCTTGAAAACTTGGGCAGCGTCATACCTGCTCGCGAAACGTCTCCATCTGTTTCACCTCATACCACAAGAACAGAACAGCAAGACAAGGGTCCTCGAGCTCGGATCAGGCACTGGCTTGGTCGGTCTAGCGATGGCGGGCCTCGGTGCAGACGTCGTCCTGACAGATCTGCCGAGCATCTATCACAATCTTGCACGCAACGCTGAGGCAAACGCTTCAGTGTTGGAGCAGAGAGGGGGATCCATAAGGACTGGGGTATTGGACTGGACCAATCCTTGCTTGTGCACACTTTTTCCGAAAGGCGCTGTCGATACCAACAGCGACGGCGAGGTACTCAGTGAGAAGTTTCCATTAATCTTGGCTGCCGATTCTCTCTATTCGCCAGACCATCCACAGATGCTTGTAGACAGCATTGCGGCGTGGCTTTCAGAGGACCCAAGTGCAAGAGTGATTGTAGAATTTCCCTACAGAGATGCATATTTGCCTGAGATCGCTAACTTCCGTGAGCGAATGAGTCGGGTAGGTTTGCAGATCTTGGACGAAGGTGAAGAGAAGGGCTACGATGATTGGGGCGATGCTAGCAAGGACCACGATGCTCTGGTGACTTGTTGGTGGTCATGCTGGGGAAGAAAATTGCCAGAGCAGAAACCATAACAGCCTTTTTACACCGCTACGTCAAGGCCTAACCTGGACGGGTAGACCTTCCAACCCATTCACACGGTTCCGTGGGGGCGTTTGCATGGCGTCCAGCTCCGAGGGCTCGATAGCGTCTGTCGCGGAGGATTTAGTCACACAAAGCGGCGCGGGTGCACCAATTGGCGATATCGGCACCCTTGGTAGTCCACAAAACCCACGATAGACGATCGAAAATGCATCTTCGGATAAATTAGTCGGCTAAATTCCAAGCTCCCAGCTGCCGCCTGCATGTTCACAGCGTGTCCCTGGAGCTAACAATGCACGGTGGGGGACCGCGGACCAGAGCTCCTCCCAAGCTCCACCAGATGCCCGCGATTTAACAGTAGTCACTCCGCCGTCTAGTGCTAGTGCTACAGCTAGCTTCCAATGACTTCGTGCCTTTGCTTTCGTAACGTCTTCTCTTCGAAAAAGAAGTCTACAGAAGTGCCCGTGGTAGAAGAGCAGACAGACGAGAAGCCCGCGCCGCCCAAGATGACGACACAGACAAAGACACAGAAGGTAGAGCTACCCCGCCATAGATTCCTCAACCCCGCCAACGCGCTACGCGACGGATGACAGCACCACCAAAAATAATTGCGACAACAGCAATGAATGACCTTTGGAACACGATGCTGAGAATGATGGCAGAACCCCTCGTTCATATTAAAGGCGAAAAACGAGATCGTCTACGAGGACCGTCCTATCCCTGAACTTCCCTCGCCGTACGATGTCATCGTCAAACCAAAATGGACGGGCATCTGTGGCTCAGACGTCCACTACTGGGTGGAAGGACGCATCGGCCACTTCATTGTCGAAAAGCCCATGGTTCTAGGACATGAATCAGCAGGTATCGTGCACTCGGTTGGCGACAAGGTCACTACACTTAAGGTCGGCGATCGCGTCGCAATGGAGCCGGGCGTGCCATGCCGTCGCTGTATCCGCTGCAAGGAGGGCAAGTACAATCTTTGCCCTGATATGCAGTTCGCAGCTACCCCTCCTTTCGACGGTACCCTCGCGAGGTACTACGCCCTACCCGAGGACTACTGCTACAAGCTGCCCGAAAGCATGAGCCTGGAAGAGGGCGCGCTCATCGAACCTACTGCTGTTGCGGTCCACATCACACGGCAAGCGGGCATCAAGCCCGGCGACTCGGTGGTCGTGTTTGGTGCTGGCCCGGTAGGCCTTCTCTGCTGCGCTGTCGCAAAGGCGTACGGCGCAACAAAGATTGTCACTGTGGATATCAACGACGAGAGACTACAATTTGCCCTCAAATTCGCAGCGACAACCAGCTTCAAGAGCGCGAGAGTCAGCGCAGAGGAGAACGCAAAGAACATGATCAAGGAGTGCGAACTAGGTCCTGGCGCGGACATCATCATCGACGCCAGCGGCGCTGAGCCGTGCATACAAACAGCCATCCATGCCCTGCGCATGGGCGGCACATACGTCCAGGTGCGTCGTCTTCTCTCCTTCTACTTTCCACACATACTAACACTCAGCAGGGCGGCATGGGCAAGCCCGACATCAACTTCCCCATCATGGCCATGTGCACCAAGGAGCTCAACGTCAAGGGCTCGTTCCGCTACGGTTCCGGCGACTACCAGACTGCGGTCGACCTTGTGGCCACGAAGCGCATTTCCATCAAGGAGCTTATCACAAACAAGGTCAAATTTGACGATGCGGAGGAGGCGTTTAGGGACGTGAAGGCGGGCAAAGGGATCAAAATTCTCATTGAGGGCCCTGAGGAGTAGGACGCTGACAATGTACGGTGTGGATAATGGAGTCTTTGGTATAGGATCAGAAGTTAAGCAGTGATTGGGAATAGGACGAAAGCGTCATCTGTAGAATGATGATAATGGGATTTGATTTTGCATCACCCTGTTTGAGACCGTTGCGTGTGTCCTTACGCTTCTTGAAAAGGCTCATCATAATTCTATTTGGTCAACCTGCTTTTGGTTTTCCTCACCAACCAACTTGTTGAGCCATGTAGCCAGCCGCAGTGCCGCCTTGCTGATCTGCAGCTCTACGATAGGCACACCTCCGGCAGCGTACCCATCCTCTGCCAGGTCGCTGGTTGCATTCACTCGACTGTATACGTAGTCGCACGTCCACTTGTTGCTTTCGCGTGCCCAACGCGTCGCGCATTCTACAGGCGTGGAAGGATCGCTGCACGCCAGCCACATGTACGGGGCTTCCCAAAACAAATCTTTTCGGATGCGGGATACGAGGCCTTCGAAAAATGGGGCGATCGTCTGGTTCGAGAAGGGGTGCGTTGCAGCAGCAGCAGTGTAAGGGAGATAGTGGTCCCACACCTGGGCTATGTGTTAATTGCTCCCTTGAAGTGTAGTCTGGGTTGGAAACTCACTGCATGGAGCTCAGTAGACGCATTGCCGAACTTCACTCGGAAGAAGTTGCCTCCTGCTGCGCGCCCCGATGCATGAAGGGGCTGGTTGATATCGCCCAGGAAGTGCGACACCCACTTTAAAGCATACGAGCAAGTGAGGTTCGCGCCGTTGGCCAGACTGCCGGCCTTCACGTCAGCAATACAGCCCCGAAGTATACTGGTCTGATTCTCGATTGCGGAGACCACACAGCCACCCTTCGCGCAGTCTCGGTTGTAGTCCAGATCGCAGCGCTGGGGCGGGAAATCATGCGAGTCGATCCAGTGCCATTGGTATGAGAAGCGGCCCTCGTCTGTGTGCGCGTAGCCGTCGGCCCATGCTGCGGCGCGGCCTATCGACCCGTTGTATTGCGGTTCGAGGATGTGTTGAACGACGGAGATCGTATGCGGCTCGAGAAACTGCTCGGCCATGAAGCCGATTTGATTGTGGACTGTGGACGATCAGCCTTAGTATCGATCTGGGGTAGATACAAGTACCATCTGTGCTCCAGGACGCTGCCGAAGGGAGGAAAAATGTTGCTAGCTTCAGAAAATGCATGGTCAAGTCAAGAAGTAGGCTTGAATGTATGGGGGAGCCGTGAGTGCACGTAGGTTGTGCTATGCACGAAAGCTACAACGATTACGTAGATGGGTTGATGTATATCTGAGCCTACAACATGTTCTAGCTATTGTACATATTAATAAGCTGGAGGTGGAAGCTGAGCTGCGATACGATGTGGGCGTTGTTGTTGATCCTGGTGTTGTTGCGGCTGGCTTGGATGACGCATGGGGGCCTGAGCTCCCAATTGCTGCAGGGACCAAAGAAGCTAACGTACCTGGCAAGCGAGCGGCGCAGGCAAGCGAGCGGCGCACCCCACCAACTTTTCGCGACGCGTCACCTATTAATCACAATGGATCAACCAACCACTATTCAATCACGCTACAATGAAGCTCATATATCTCTAGCTATCACAGCTATCAATTAGAATCAATTACAAAGTGGAAGGCGCGCTGCTGCAATATACAGAGTCTCTGAAACCACGCTTCGCCGCCGACGCGCTGGAATCACTGCGCGACGCGATTGTGAGCCCAATTCAAAGAAGCTCACTAAGCTAGAAGAGGAGGTGATTACTAGGTATATACTTGACCTAGATTCGCGAGGGTTTTTGCCTACCCTAGATGCTGTTCGAGATATGGTAAATAGACTACTCGCTGAGCGCGGCGCTGGCTAAGTAGGCGAGAAGTGGCCACGCAACTTTGTTAAGTGGACAGAAAGCCTTACCATACGTTTCAACCAACTATATAATTAACAGAGAGCTCTATGTGAGGATCCTAAGGCAATTAGGGCCTGGTTCAACCTTATAGCGCACATGAAAGCTACCTATAGGATCTATAATGAGGATACCTACAACTTCGACGAGACTGGCTTTATGATAGGCAGGATATCAGCTTAGCTTGTTGTCACAGGCTCAGAGCGACGAGGTAGGCCAAAAGCGTTATAGCTAGGCGATCACGAGTGGATTATAGCAATTCATGAAATCAATGCTACTGGCTAGGTGATCCCACCCTTTATTATCTTTGCTGGCCAGTATCACCTCTCTACCTAGTATAAGGATAATGATATACTACGCGACTAGGCTTTCGTAGTTAGTGATAATGGCTAGACAACAAATAAGCTTAGAGTAGAGTGGCTAAGGCACTTTATTAAGCATATAGTAGAGTGTAGGGTAGGCGCGCGCCAGCTACTCATACTTAATAGCTATAAGAGCTATAACTCACTCGAATTTCAAGTACTCTATAAGGAGAATAACATCTATACTCTCTATATACTGCCACATTCGTCGCACCTCCTATAGCCACTTAATATTGGCTATTTCTCGCCGTTGAAGCGCGCATATAGCCGCCAGATTAAGGGCCTAATTCGCGATTACATTAACTATATCACTAAGCTAGAGTTCCTACTAGCCTTCTACGCAGCCTACAACTAGTTAATTATAAAGGAGAATATCTGCGCAAGCTTTCAAGGCGCTAGCCTAGTACTACATAATCCTAATAGGGTGATAGCGAAGCTTAATGTAAAGCTTTTGTTAAATCCAGAAGGGTAGCTAGTCCTAAAGGGTTAGGGTTGGTTCTCGGGCAAGACAACTGGGGAAGGAAGGGGTTTGTCGAGACGATA